TCCTCCAACACCATATCTCAAAAGCATCAATTCTTCTACAGTCTTCCTTATTCACTGTTCAACTTTCACATCCACATGAGGTGATTGAAAATACCATGGCTTGAGTGAGGCTCACGTTAATCCGCACACTGACATCTTTGCACTTCAATACTTTTAGGAGGTCTGTGCAGCAGATTTGCCCAATGCCCAATGTATAATTTCTTGACTTCTGCTTCCAGGAGTGTTGATGGTTGATCTGAGCAAAATGAAGTCTTAGACAAATTTCAATCTCCATTTATTTTTATGTTATTTATTCATCGAGTGCTGAGGGTTTTTGTTTTCTTTACGTAGAGGTACAGGCAATATCTGTACTTGGTATGTATTTTCAAGAAATTAGAGCTGTGACACGGATAAACGGACACCCATGTTCATTTCAGAGTCCTGGTGTGGCACTGTGGGTTAATGCGCCAGACTGCAAAGCCGTTTGAACTGCAAGATCGGTGGTTCAAGCTCACCGCTGCTCCTCAGAAACCCTGTACAGGGTTGTATGGATCAGAGTCGACTCTTCGGCACTTAACAGCAACAGCATGTTCATTTCATCACTATTCACAATAGCAAAAAATTGGAGGCAGTCTAATGCCTATCAACAGAAGAAAGGTAAACAAATTGTGGTACATATACACAACGAAATACTAGGCGAGATTGAAGAGTAACGATGCATCTGCAAAACACCTCACCACCCGTATGAACCTGGAGGACCCGATGCTGATTGAAATTAGTCAATCACAAAAGCACTGTTATAAAAAAGTTAAGAAAATGTTTTCTTGATAAAAGAAACATTTAATGATGCTTCCAGGGGGAGGGAAAATTACTCACAGGCTAGAAAGTAGACACATGCTAACATGGGTGACAGGGCAGGCAAAATACAATAAGAGGGAGCTTGGCAGAGGAAAGATGAAGACAGCAGGAGACACAGAAAGTAATGCAAGAGTTAAAGTGAACAGAGGTAAATACTGTTAACTGATGGTACATAGAGCGGATTGCAATCATTGTAATGAAGCCAAGTATATGATTTTTTTAAATGTAAAACTAATGATCTGCTCTATTAGCCATCACTCAGTTTACAATAAAACTTTAAAAAACCCACTGCCACTGAGTTGGCTCCAACTCTCAGGGATCCTGTAGAACACAGCAGAACTGCTCCCTGGGGCTTCTAAGACAGCCTCATCTTTGTTTCTTGGATGAGTTTGAACTGAGTACATTGTAATTAACATACCAATGCCTAACCCATCACACCACCAGTGCTCCCTCCACTTTGTTTGTTGTTGTTTTTGTTAAGTGTTGAGTCAGTTCTTACTCACAGTAAACCAGAGAAGGTTTTTCCAGGAGCGATTTGTGGGTTTGAATAGATGACCTTGAGGTTAGCAGTTCAGTGCTTAAGGACTCCTTGTTAGTGTTTTTAAATTTGCTTAACCACCATGGAGGACACATATACAGATACATATTGTTTCTGTAATATTCTACTCTAAATTCCCCCCCCCCCCCATCTTTTTAAGTTTTTGACCATACAGAGCACTGGTTCATGAATGGGTCTTTAAAAAGTTCAGGAATTTGCAACCTCACTTACAAGAGGCAGAAAACTCAATCCTTACCAATCAGATTTGTATGCCAGAAAAAAGTTGCCTCTTGATATGTGAACAACATCCACTCCATAATTGCTTTTACCCCAGCTAGCAGAAACACCAAAACTAAATTCTGTTGTTACTTAAATAATTCATCCCAGCTCTGGTACATTCCAGTTCTCTTCTTTTTGTGGCAAAGACCCCTAAATAAGAATAGGATTTGGGTAGGTCCAAGGGACTTGTGTGATGCTGTAGGATAAGCACTGGACTACAAATCACAAAGTCAGCAGTTCAAACCCACCAACTGCTCCTTGGAAACCCTATACAGGTTGCTATGAGTCCAGATGGTACTTAATAACAACAACAACAGGGGAACTAGTAAGTATTCCTGGTGGTACAGTGGTTAAGTGCTTGGTTACTAACTGAAAGGTCAGTAATTCGAACCCACCAGCCTCTCAGTGAAGGAAAGATGTTACAGTCTGCTACCATAAATATTTATAGCCTTGGAAACCCTATGGGGACAGTTCGGTTCTGTCCCACAGGGGTACTGAGTTGGAACCAACTAGACAGCAACGTATCAAGGACCAGTAAAGAAGAGCTATGAAGGGTGTAGGTAGCTACATTGGGAAATTGAGGTGCTTTGAGAAGGAACAGAAAATTTGAGTGTACAAAATGGGCTCAAAGGAGACATGCTGGTACAAGAGAGGAACTGCAATCAAAACTTGTGTCCATCAAGTTGAGTCTGCACTGATCCCACTCATTCTAGTGCTGGGGACAATTCTTAATTTTATCGTTTCTACCATTCACCAATTCTAATGAATTTTGTCTGAATTCATAAATGTTCAGTTCTTTTCTCATTGTTGTTGTTAGGTGCCATCAAATCAGTTCCGATTCATAGCAATGTTATGCACAACAGAACAAAACACTGTCTGGTCCTGTTCCATTCTCACAATCCTTTTACACTTGAGACCATTGCTGATGCCACTCTATGTTGTTGAGGGGTCTTTCATTTTTTACTGACCCTCCACTTCACCATAATGTCCTTCTCCAGAGACTGGTCCCTCCTGATAATAATGTTAGAAATATGAGAGACAAAGTCTGGCCATCCTGGCTTCTAAGGAGCATTCTCGCTGTACTTCTTCTAACACAAATTTGTTCTTCTTCTGGCAGTCCATGTACTTTTAATAGTCTTCTAATGAAACTCCATTTTTAATATATTGAAGATCAAAGTCTTTAAGAAAATCAATGTATGAGTAATATAACTATGTTCCTTTACAAAATGACTTTTTATTTTAAGAATATAGAAGATAGTTTAAAGTAAATAAAATTCTGTCTAATGATTTAAATTTATATTTGGAATTTTGCTGTAAAATTTTCTAAAAAGTTATACCAATAAACTTAGGGCATATTTGGTTTTGGGTTTCTTGGAGTTCTGGTGGCACAGAGGCTAAAGTATTCCACTGCTAACCAAAATGTTGGCTGTTTGAACCCATCCACTGCTCCACAGAAGACAGATGTGACCATCTTAGAAACCCTTTGGGAAACTTAGACTCTATTCTGGAAAGTTGCTATGATTCACAACAGACTCCATGGCGGTGAGCTGGATTTGGCTGGTTTTCAGAAGTCTTGCTACTTTGTTCAAAATACAGTCACAAAATGATCTAACTAGATTATCATATCTATATCTAATTGTATTATCTGTATATTATCTATGTAATATTAACTGACCCATCATTGGATAAGTATAGTAAGATATATGCACATTTATCAAAAATTTCATTATGTATTGTGCTGGGATGAATGGTTTCCAAAATATATTAAAAATATCCCTGACCCCTAGAGTTTATAACTGTTATTAGGTGCCATCCAGTCAGTTTGGACTCAGAATAGCCCTGTACAGGGCTTCCGAGGCTATAAATCTTTACGGGAGCAGAAACCCTCATCTTTCTCCTGCAGAGCAGTTGGTGGGTTTGAACTACCTGATATTGTAGTTAGCCATCTAGTGCTTATCTTACGGTACCAGCACTCCCAGATTATAATTGTTGTTGTTGTTAAGTGTCGTTGAGTCAGTCCCAACACATAGGGACCCTGTATAGGGCTTCCAAGGAGCAGCTGGTGAGTATGAACCACCAACTTTGTGGTTCAAACCAACTTTCAGTCCAGCACATTAGCCCACAGCACCACACTAGGACTCCAGAGTTTATAACTAGTACTAACAAAATTAAGGGACTAAATGGTGGTAGTGGTGTGCTGTGGAATCAGTTCCAACTCATAGTGACACAGTATAAGGTTTCCGAAGCTGCAAATTTTTACATGAGCAGAAAGCCTCATCTTTCTCCCATGGAGCATGATTGTAACTGCTGGCCTTGCAGTTAGCAGCTCAGCTCGTAACCCACTACACTACGAGAGCTCTGTAAGGGACTAAATAAGCAGTTCTATTAGTATCAAATGAATATATCAACTGAAAAAGGAAACAAAATGTTTACACCTAGTTCATGCAAATGTCCTTCTCCAGGGGCTGGTCCCTCCTGATAACATGTCTGAAGTATGAGAGATGAAGTCTGGCCATCTTGGCTTCCAAGGAGCATTCTGGCTGTACTTCTTCTAACACTGATTTGTTTGTTCTTCTGGCAGTTCATGGTACTTTAAATATTCTTCTCCAACACCATAACTCAAATGCATCAACTTTTCTTTGGTTTTCCTTATTCATTGTCCAAATTTCACGTGCATATGTGGCTATTGAAAATACCATGACTTGGGTCAGATCTCTAGTAGCAGAAATATCTGTTTCTAAAGCTATTAGGCGACACGGAAGTGTACTTGTAAGCTGTCAGATCATTAGGCTTTATATGGTTATATACAACAAAACCCAGAGTCAGGACCCTTCCTGGGACTTCTGGCCTCATGATGCTCCTCACAAGCCTCCTCTGGGTTGGTAGGGAAGTTTTCTGGACCAGGGATGTAGAAGAAAGGCAGTATGGAATGTTGTATCCATACATGTGAATTACCTTCCTCCCTGAAACCTTGAGACTAGAAGCTACCTAACCCCTACAGTATGAGTACTAAAAACACTCTGTAGTGATAAGAACACCACATGCATTTTAGAATAACAAATGAAATACTCAAAGACACACAACTTAGGGGTTTTCCAAGATTTTTTGAAATCTGTGAACAATGAACTTGGCATGTTCAATAACACTCTTTCCAAACTCGGAAGGTTTCTTTTAGAAAGACTGTCATTCACATTATAAATCAGGCAAACACATAGATTTTATTGGTTTCTGATCATACTTCAAATTTAAAACATAATACCTTATTTCGTCTTAGTAATTTTGAATACTCTTATTTCTTAATTAAATAATAAATAAGTTAATCAGAACATTAAAGATCCAACCTTACTTTCATCTGGACAATATGAAATTCATCACATCTCAGATTAGTAAGAGATTTCCGAGTCTTTCCTCTTTGGTGTCCAAATTTACACTTGTTTCTCATCACTTGTTCATCATCTTCTATGGATCTTCGAACATATTTAAACCGATCTTTGAGGGCTCGTTTCCATAAAAACTATGTAAAGGAAAAAAATGGGCCAGTTACCTTCAAGGCGATTAGAATAATCCCATATAATCTGTCTATCACCCCTGACTTGAAATTATTTTCACATCACAGTAATAGATACATCTGTCCTATCATTTATCTTCACATGATTATAAAAACTATATTTTCACATGGTTATAAAAACTATAATATAATCTTGTGACTTGGTTATAAAAACTATAATCTTTAAATTATAGCCAAGGAATTTGAGGGACAGAAAAATTAAAATATTTTCCCAATGTCATATAGCTATTATTGTTGTCAAGTGCCATTGAGTCGGTACCGACTCATACAGACCCTGTGTAGGGTTTCCGAGAAGCAGCTGGTGAGCTTGAACCACCAAGCTTGCGGTTCATCGCGACTTTGCAGTTCAGTCATTAACCTACAGCACCACACCAGGACTTTTCAAATAGCTATTGTTGTTGTTGTTGTTGTTAAGTGGCGTTGAGTCGATTCTGACTCATAGCAACCCTGTATAGGGTTTCCAAGAAGTAGCTGGTGAGCTTGAACCACTGACTTTGCAGTTCAAACGACTTTGCAGTCTGACACATTAGTCCATAGCACCACACCAGGACTCCGCACATAGCTAGGGGGACCTCAAAAAGTTTGAGGAAAAATTCCATTAACTTTTAATTCTGGTTTCCCATGAGAGTTTTGAAGCCTCCTTATACTGTGTGCTGGGGGAAGAAGACATCAAATACAAAGATGTTCTATGGAGACCTTTTTACTAAAACAGTAAAGAGAACAAAAGGAGCTCTGGTAGCATAGTCATTACAAGTCAGGCTGCAGTTCAAAACTACCAGCCATTCCAAAGGAGAAAGATGAGGCATTTTGCTCCTGTAAAGATTTACACCCTCAGAAATCCTAAGCAGGGTTGCTATGAGGAGGAACCCACTCCATGACACACCCTCACCACCAAACAGGACAAAGAGAGACATCTTGGATAAGGAAAACCACTAGGATGTACACAGTCCAGAGACCAAAGAAATCCACTGGTTTTCATTATATTAGGTAGTTATTGTTAAGTTCCATTGAGTTGGGTCCAACCCATCGCCTACCTTGCCATTCAAACCGACTTTGCAGTCCAGTGCATTAATCCACAATGCCACAACAGGACTCCATATAACCAAAGGAAATCGTCACAAGATCAAGTCAATTCCTCACTATCTCTTAGGTGGGACTACATAAAGGGAGAAAGGACCATGACTGGTGGTGGTGGCGGCAGAAGTGTGCCGTGGAGTCAGTTCCTACTCATAATGACCCTCTATAGGGTTTCTGAGGCTGTAAATCTTTACAGGAGCAGAAAGTCTCATCTTTCTCCCACGGAATGGCTGGTAAATTCCAACTGCTGACCTTTAGGTTAGCAGCCCAACTCATAACCACTACACTACAGAGTTCCTTAAGGACCATGATTAGGATACGGTTACAGAACTGGTTCTGGGGTTTTGGTTAACTGACTGCTTGGTAGTCAGGCATAAGTCATGACCATGGGACCTATCCTTAACTTATATCAATTAACATGCATCTGATTGACTAAGGTAAATCCCCTAGTTCTTTGTGTGAACATCTTTCTGCATACTAGTTAATCAACTATCAACCACACTCTTCTTGAGAGCAAACTGCCCTCCCTGGACCTGTCCTGGACCTGTCTAAACATAACCAAATTGCTTAACAAAGCCAGCAAGCATTGGGGAAGCACCAAAGAACTCAAATGGTGTCTGAACTATGTCAAAACTAAACATGAAGTTCAGACTCCTGCTATAGACCATCATTGTTGTTGTTGTTGTGTGCCGTAGAGTCGATTCCGACTCATAGCGACCCTGTACAGGGTTTCCAAGGCTGTAAATCTTTACGGGAGCAGAAAGCATCATCTTTCTCCCATGGAACAGCTCGCCGTTTCGAATTGCTGACCGTGAGATTAGCAGCCCAATTCGTTACTACTACACTACCAGAGCTCCTGCTATAGACCATTGTTGTTGTTGTTGTTAAGTGCCTTCGAGTCGGTTCCGACCCATAGCGACCCTGTACAGGGTTTCCGAGGGTGTAAATCCTTACGGGAGTAGAAAGCCTCATCTTTCTCCCGCGGAGCAGCTGGTAGTTTTGAACTGCTGACCTTATGGTTCGCAGCCCAATTCGTAACCATTACGCTACTTCCACAAACCAAGTGCTTTAGAATTTAAGCTCTAATGCAAATGGCTCTTGAACTTAGATTTTCTAATTCTCAAATTTAAATACTGTCCACTATGATCTACTGTCCTCATAACACATCCTACTTTTCGAGTGTTCTCTAGAAAGGAATGATACTAATTTGTGAATGCAAGTACTACAAATGTGGATTGATGTGTTTTCTGTGGATGACAGTTTTTTCTGTCATCCCTAGAGATTCATTTTGTTGAATCTTATTGGCATTCATTGCCCAATATATTTGTGAAGTATCTACTGTTTCAAACACAGAGGCCTGATTTCTGTCTTAGGGGAGAGGCAGATTTCTTTTCTTTTTTTCTAAGAAGGAAAAATAATGTTAATATACAACAAAAGTGTTACCGTAGGGGAAGACACAGCATTAGCTTGCTCATATTTTTCACCTAGATCATAATGGAGTCCAGGTGTGGTGCTGTAGGATAAGCACTGGACTGCTAACCACAAGGTTGGTGTTTCAAACCCACCAGACTCCCCAGGGAACCCTATATAGAGCCAGCACCACTCATCTGTCAGTTTGTCATACTGTGGTGACTTGTGTGTTGCTATGGTGCTGGACGCCATGCCACTGGTATTTTAAATACCAACAGAGTACACCCATGATTGACAGGGTTCAAATGAGTTTCCAGATTAAGACAGGCTACGAAAAAGGAGAGACAAACTACTTCTGAATGTTTATGAATCAGTACAACACTGTAGGATAGATAGCACCAGAATATTGAATATGGAACTATGATGAATAGCACCAGAATATTCTCAGATGCAGTGCCAGAGATAACCCCTCAGGATGGAACACGCTCCAAATACGACTGGGGTAGAGCTAGCTCCAGCATTGTTTCTATCATCAAGGCCTTATTTTTCAATTATGAACCCCTTCATTTCCAACTTTTGCCTTCCAATCACCAGTGATTATCAATGCATATGATTGCATGTTTGATCAATTTTAGACTGAAAAAGTTAGTAGAATTCTTCAGTTTCAACATCATTTGCTTTAGTGGTTAGTGTGTAAATTTAAATAATAATGGTATCAACTGTTTTTTTCTTATAGGTAGATGGATAAAATCCATCACAGATAACATTATACTTTCAGATAGACCTTAAAATTTTCATTTGGACGATGAATGTGATTCCATTCCTCTTCAATTTATCATTCCTGGCACAGTAAACCATATGATTGTCACATTCAAAATGACCAACACCAGTTCATTTCAGCTCACTAATGCGTAAGGTATCAATCTTTATGCATTCCATTTCATTTTTGACAACTTCCAATTTTCCTAGATTTATATTTCATAATACCATGTTCTGAGTATCAATGAATGTTTACGGATGTTTCTCTTCATTTTGAGTTGTGCTTCATTATCAAATGAAGGCACGGAAAGATTTACTTCATTATAGACAGGTGGCTTCTGTGTAAAGATTTGCAGTTTTGGAAACCCTGCACTGTTTCCAAAGGTTTACTCCATTGTTGTCATCATGTTTGCCTTCCAGCTCTGGTCATAAAAGAGGGTGGAAAGTAGCTGGGTGATTCTGGGTACAGTTTTTAAGCCTATTTCTTCACATGCAAGTAGAAATGCCACCGAGGTAACATTTGTCATGTTTCTGGCCCTTAGATTTTGCTGCATACCATTTTTAACTAGATTGTAGAAGAATTGATGCCTTTGAGTTGTAGTGTTGGAGGAGAATACTGAAAGTGCCATGGACTGCCAAAAGAACCAATAGATCTGTTTTGGAAGAAGTGCAGCCAGAGTGCTCCTTGGAGGCCAGGATGGCTAAGCTTCGTCTCTCATACTTTGGACATATTGTCCGGAGGAAACAGTCACTGGAGAAGGATGTCATGCTGGGTAAGGTGGAGGGTCAGAGAAAAAGAGGAAGACCCCTAATGAGATGGATTGGCTAGGTGGCATCACTGATGGGCTCAAGTGTAGCAGTGGTAGTGAGGTTGGCCCAGGATCGGACATTGTTTCGTTCTGCTGGGCATGAGTCGGCTCCGACTCGATGGCACCTGACAACAACAACAACAATTTTTAACTAACTGGTATAAGTCCCAATGACTTACCTCCCTCTCAGAAAGCAAGTAACTTAGGACTAGCACTAGTATGCATTAGTTAGGTAACCTGGAACATAAACCTTCTCAGCCATAATTATTTCATCTCTGTAATATAGACTTCTGGTGTGGTGCTGTGGGTTAATGTGTTGGACTGCAAAGTTGATTTGAACCACAAAATCAGCGATTCAATCTCACCCGTCGCTCCTTGAAGACCCTATATAGGGTCGTTATGAGTTGGAACTGACTTGAAAGCACTTAACAACAATGGAATAATAGGATTTGTTAACTGCACTGAGTTTTGGCAAGAGTCGATGAGTGGTATTCCTTGTAACTATTTGTAAACTGAAGTGCTGTTCATAAAACCCTTCAGTAGCCCTGGGGAGTAGCGGCTCAGGTTGAGGACTAGGGGATGGCTTTGTCACTGGTTATTCTGCCTGGCTTGTGTGACACAGAGAGGAGCTGTACATCAGTCTGGAAATAAAGGGTGCCTCTATATGAGTCCTGGTGTGATGCTGTGGGTTAATGCAATGGACTGCAAGTCGCTTTGAACCGCAAGATTGGTGGCTCAAGCTCACCAGTTGCTCCTCAGAAACCCTACACAGATTTGCTGTAAGTCAGAACTGACCTGACAGCACTTAAGTAAGGAGCCTGGTGGCGCTGTGGGTTAGGTATTATGCTGCTAACTGTAATGTCTGCTCAGAGGGAGAAAGATTAGACAGGTAGCTTTTGTAAAGATTTGCAGTTTTGGAAACTCTGCATAAAAGGACATTGTGAGTTCTACTTGACTTGATGGCAGTGGGTTTTTTGTTTTATATGAACTAGTGAATATACAGGAACTCTAGGTGTGGCGCTGTAAGATCAGCACTGGACAGAAATACAAAAGGTCAGCAGTTCAAACCCACCAGCTATTCCTCAGAAACCCCATACAGGGCCGCTATGAGTCAGAACCAACTCAACAGCATTTAACAATAACAACAACCATGCATATACACTGTTTTCCCCTCACACTTCTCACAATTCTGAAGAGCTTCTAAACCTGCTAAACCTAGTGGAAGGTATTATAGCATTCAGCTTCTAGAACATTTTTATATTGCAAATCCTTCATCCCAAACTATCCCAATTCTCTTAATAACTATATAGAGTCCTGGTGTGGCACTATAGGATAAGCACATGACCATAAGGTCCATTTGAACCACAAGGTCAGCAGTTCAAACTCACCAGCCACTCCTCAGGAGCCCTATACGGGGTCTCTTTGAGTCAGAACTGACTGGAGACATCACTTAACAGCAACCAAAACCAAATCCACTGCTGTCAAGTCAATTCTCATGCATAACAACTCTACAGGACACATTAGAATTGCTCCATAGAACTTCTGAGACTGTAAGTTGTTATGGAAGCAGATTACCTCATCTTTTACTCTTTGGGGTGCTTGGTGGATCTTCCAATTACTATCCCAATGCTTAACCCACAGCAACACCTTAACTGCTTGATAAGAACAGAAGAAGAATAACTCCAATTCAATCTTCCACATGAGGATTCAATACACAACTATTTACTGAGCATCTGCTTCTTGCCTGGGTCTGTGATATCCCTAACAAATGCCGCAAGTAGACACAACCAATCAAAGATGTGCGTGTCTTTGGATTATCATCCACCTTTTCCATACTCTAGCTAGAAAGAGTGTGGTGACTTTTACATGGATACAACTCTACTCCAATCATTCTGAAATAAACGGTAGCCCCAAAATGAGGCTCCTGATGTGATACGAGAAGCAGGGCAGGGGTTACTGGCCTGTCGTTATGCAGTATTGGTACCGTATCCAGTATTGGTACCGTCAGTGTCTTCACTAGGAAACATTCAGACAAGCCCAAATTGTAGAGCTTCCTGCAAGGGAACTGTGGTAGACTCATCCAAAAGTAAGTATCAGGAAAAACAAACAAGGACAGGAACACCACTAGCGCAAAAGAGACTACAGAGACAGATCCAAGGAATGTAATGCGTGATTATTGATTAGATTTTATATTAAAGATTCAGTTCTAAGAATATTTTTAATACCTTTTGAAAAATTTAATACAGATTATATATGGTATTATGGAATTATTGTTAATTTTGTTAGGTATAAAAATGGTACTGTGGGGATGTAGATTGTCCCGATCCTAATGAAACATATCCTGAGGTATTTGGGTTTGACATCTGCAATTTGCTTTCAAATGCTTAGCCAAAACAAACTGCCAACCAGGCAACCAAACATATATACGAGAAAGAAATCATGAATGTGCCAGAATGTGTACATCTGGTGAATTGAGATCAGTGATTTTCAACCAGGGGTGGTTTTGTCCTCAGGGCACATTTGGAAATGTCTAGAGACATTTTGGGTTGTCACAACTGAGGAAGAGGAACGCTATCAGCATCTACTGGGAAAAGACCAGCGATCCTACTGTGTACCCTGCAATATGAAGGGCAGTCACTTAAAAAATTAATTACCCAGCAGAAATGTTCATAGGACCAGGGCTGAGGAACCTAGATATCAACTAGATGAGGGATAGGCGTGTTCACAGCAGCATTCTTTCAGTTGTTGTATAATTTAAATTATTTTTCCAAATAAAAAATCGATATTAATTTGACCTTAAATTACAAAAGCTGCTACACATACGCACGCATTAGTGTTCCCAGAAATGTTTATGACCTACATTGCAACATTAGAAAACAACGTTATACATGATTACAAAGAGGATCTGGGTACCACACGCCAGAGTTTCCCCTTCTGCTCTATGTGTACAAACATACTAAGCAAGCGTGCGTGCCTCTTTATCAGTTAACTATCCTTGGAAATTCACACAGGGTCACTATGAGTCAGAACTGAATTGACAGTACTTAACAAAACAACATCTTTAGTTAATGCCACTGGGAACAGATGTGGGTAAGCTGCACACACAAGAGCAAGATAAGCATTACCCCATATTTTCTGTTTGTCTCACACAGATAACCATGAAACTAAATATCCAAATATAATAGAATAGATATGCATTTGCTTACATGTAGATGAAAAGATTTTCTGGAGAGAATTTTTAATCATACTGACTGCTTTGGGGTAGAAGAACCAGGTAGGCAGAGACAGGAAGGAGATTTTTCCATGTATGCTTTTCTATAACTTTTGAGTTTTGAATTATGTATAACTTACATAAACAGTGGAGTCCTGGTGTAGCACTGTGAGTTAATGCGCTGGACTGCAGAGTTGTTTGAATCTCAAGGTGAGTGGTTCAAGCTCACCAGTAACTCCTTGGAAACCCTATACAGGGTCACTATGGGTCAGAATCAACTCGACGGCACTCAACAACAACAACAACACAAACAGTAATTTTAAATTCTTTTTTAAAAACACAACTAGTTCTATGCACCGTAGCATTGATTAGCTGGGATGTTTAATTCTGTGCAGAAGTAATTTTTAGCAGCAGTTTTGTCAGCCTCATCAGTCTGACGGTCGACGACGGCACTTAACAACAACAACAACAGGCAGTTCCAGACAGAAAAGATTGTGCTGGTTGTTTTGGTGGCAATGATCCTCAACCACTGCTGAACGTTAGAATCACCTTGGGAACTTTAAAAATGCTAATATCATGGTCCCATGCTCAGACCAATTAAATCAGAATCTCTGGAGGTCTAAATACATAGCCAGAGTTGAGAATGGCTGTCCCAGTGAGGCTTAGAATCTTTTCTTTTCTTTTTTTTAAATCAGTGTGTGTGAGAGGGCCTGGTGAGACTGAAGGTCAAAACTAGACATATTCTCCGCTGGGTCTAATCAGAACATAACAAACACTCTACATTGATTTAATTACAGTACCAGCCCTTCTGTTTCTAGGTATCACATCTCCTAAAGACACTCCCCTCCCCGCAGATGTACTATCCAACTTCCAGATAGCTTTGAGAGAGAGAGAGAGATGATAGGGAGAGGCAATAAAACAATAGGCAGAAAGAGTTGAAGACAAATAAGGAAACTATCAAAAAGAACAGAGCTAAAAATAAAGAGGGACATCAAAACAAAGAGAGAAACACAGACTGACAGTAAGAAGAGAATAAAACAGAGTTAAGGAAAGTGAAGAAGTGAGACTCAAAGACCAAACAGAGCAAAAACAAAACAAAACAAAGAAAGAGTCAGAGAAGCAGACAGTTGTTGTTGTTATGTGCCATGGAGTCGGTCCCGACTCATAGCGACCCTGTACAGCGTTTTCGAGGCTGTAAATGTTTACGGGAGCAGAAAGCCTCATCTTTCTCCCACAGAACAGCTGGTAGTTTCTAACTGCTGACCTTGCGGTTCGCAGCCTGATTCGTAACCACCGATTCGTACAGAGAAGCAGATAGACCTAGACAAATGAAGACAGAGACCAAGAGGGTGAGGAGAGAGGGGTGAAACATAAAATCGCTCAATCATGCAAGAATATCATTTAAGACATGATGGGATTAACAGATAACACCATATGGTCCCTTACAAATGCACAGCCATCTTCATCCAGGAAAGGGTGGGTCTGCAGCAGGGTGTTGACCACATCGTTGTACTGCTGAGTACTTGGATACCTGTTCACCGTAATAAGGAGAAAACGGTTCACTTCAAAATAACCATATTCCTTCCTTTCAAGTTGAGTGTAAATCACATTTGTTGTTCCCAAATCTTGCCACATAATAAAGAAATTAAGCTTTCTAGGAAAAATTCAGGTATTGGACAATGATGAAATTATTATCAATGTGTCAAAATTGGTGAGAACTGATAGCAAATTATTTCTAGTCTACTCTGTAAACAGACTCAGCATTACTCACAGTGAGCCTTCCAGATACTTAGTCATGTCAGCCTGGAGAAACTCAATCATCCGTATCCTCATGCTGTGGTCAGGACATTTCTGTTCTGCTAACATGCATTTGACATCATAGGGAAACTCCGGTAAAACATAGGACTTAGTCCATTGTAAGGCTTTAGTCCTTGCTAGAGCATGCTTCACATTCCTTCTGTTAAAACAAAACAAAACCACGAGTTTTTAAATTCTGTTCTAATATATACACATTATTAACCCTCAGTGTCCTGGGAACGCATGCTACAAATGGTCTTCCTGATACCTAAATATTTGGAAGTCATCTATGTAGCCCGCACCTATCAATCCACAAATATTTGAGAGCCCACTGTCCCTTTGCACATACATAAATACTTTTAGTTCTGAAAATAAAACTCATAATAATAATAATACAGACTTGAGAATAAAACCTGGTATTGGGACACATAGGAACTCATATATTTTGAAAAGACAACATGTAAAGTGTAGCTCAAAACTGGAGAGGAAAACTAATAAATGAAAAATAAGGAGTTGCAATTCAGTAATGCAAATGAGGCATATGATAAAGACTCAGCACTTGATGTTTTTGAATTCCTCCTTTAATTGATTTTGCTGCTGTTCATCATGAAACAGAAGATCTGCCTAATTTAGTTGGTCTTTGACTATTTTAATAAGGCAAATTTGTAAATTTTAAATATGTTATCAGATATTTTATGATTCCATTTAGATGGCAAAGCTAGAAAATGTTATAGGAAAGCATAGCTACAGAAAACAGACCAGTAATTGCCTAGCATCAGAGGTGGGACTGGATAGTGACTACAAAATGGCATGTTATTATTGTTAGATGCAATAGAGTTGGTTCCGACCCCTGGTGATCCTATGCATACTAGAACTAAACATTGTCTGGCCCTGTTCATCCTCACAGTCATTGCTATGTGTGAGCCCACTGTTGCAGCCATGATGTCAGTCCATCTCCTTGAGGGTCTTCTTCTTTTTTGCTGACTCTCCACTTTTCCAAACATGATGTCCTTCTCTAGGGATTGGTCCCTCCTAATAACGTGTCCAAAGTATAAGAGATGAAGTCTCTCCAACGTTGCTTCTAAGAAGCAATCCAATAGTTGTTCCAAAACAGATTTATTTGTTTTTCTGGTAGTCCATGATACTTTCAACATTCTTCTCCAACACCATGATTCAAATGCATTGATTTTTCTAAGGTCTTTCTTATTCATTGTCCAACTTTCACAATACATCAGAGGCAATTGAAAATGCCATGGCTTGGGTTAGGTGTACCTTAGTCCTCAAACTGACATCTTTGCATTTTCAAGAGGCTTTTGCAACAGATTTGCCTAATGCAGTATGTCCTTTGATTTCTTGACTGCTGCTTTTATGAGCATTGATTGTGGATCAAAGCAAAGTGAAATCTTTGAAAACTTCAATTCTCTTCTCTGCTTGTCATGATTATATTTGTTATGTGTGAGTTTTTGTTTGTTTGTTTCATTTTGTGTCTTCTTTACATTGAGGTGCAATCCGTACTGAAGACTGTAGTCTCTGATCTTCATCAGTAAGTATTTCAAGTCCTCTTCTCTTTCAGCAAGCATGGTTGTGGCATCTGCATATCACAAGTTGTTAATGAGACTTCCTCCAATGCTGATGCCATATTCTTCTTCATACAACTGAGCTTCTTGGACTATTTGCTCTGCATACAGACTGAAGGGTATGGTGAGAGGATGCAACCTGGCAAACAACTTTCCTGATGTGAAACCATTCAATATCTCCTTGTACTGTTCCAATGACTGCTTCTTGGTCTATGTACAGGTTCCTCATGGTATCAATTAAGTGTTCTGGAATATCCATTCTTTGCAATACTATCCATAGTTTATTATGATCCACAGAGTAAAATATCTTTGCATAATCAATAAAACACAAGTAAACATCTTTCTGGAATTCTCTGCTTTCAGCAAAGATGCATCTGATGCAAGCAATAAGATCCCTCATTTCCTGTCTTCTTCTGAACCCAGCTTGAATTTCTGACAGCTCCCTGTTGATGTACTGTTGTCACTATTTTATAATGACCTTCAGAAAAATTTTACTTGCATTTGATATTAATTATATTGTTTGATGGTTCTCCAGTCCTATGCAAAAGGGTATAAGAGAAATTTTTGGGGTGATGAAACTGTTCATAGATGATTGTGGCGATGGTTTCACAACCATATAATTTGCTAAAATTAATAGCTGTAGCCTGTCCTATTGTGGCACTGTTGGATAACCACTGGACTGCTTACTGCAAGTTAAGCAGTTCAAACCCACCAGCTGCTCCTTGGAAATACTAAACAGGGTTCTATGAGTAGGAACTGTCTGGGCAGCACTTATCAACAGCAACAACAAATGGACATGTTTTATGTTATGTAACTTAGAGCTCAGTAAGGTTGTTGACAAAATTAAATATCAGAACCACTTTAAAACCTTAAGCATTTTTGAGTAAGTATGTAAAAATAAGAAGAACCTATAATAAAAATACTAGGTGGCTTTTAATCATTTCACTAACAGGATTGATTCAAGGAATAGAGGCAAACCAGAGTAGACTAAAAAAAAAGACAGATTTCCTATAATAACCTAAGTAAGTTAAATTCTACAACCATGGGGTCTTGGTGGTGGTGGCTGTCTACCACTGAATCAATTCTGACTCTGTGTAGACTTTATTTACAGGAGCAGAAAGCCGTATCTTCTTTCTCCTGTGGAGCAGAAAGCCTCATTTTTCTCCCATGGAGCTAGTGGACTTGAACAGCTGACTTTGAAGTTAGCAGGCCAATGCTTAACCTATTATGATACCAAGGTTGCTTAGTGGTTCCCCCCAAAAACATACTGATGAGTTTTGAAAAGGCCAAAATGCCCTTAGAATCTTAGGTTGCATTTATAAGAATGCATGAGCAATAGTGGAATGTTGTTGTTAGGCGCCATTGAGGAGTCGGTACCGACTCATAGCAACCCTATGAACAGCAGAACGAAACACTGCCTGATCCTGGGCTAGGAGAATAAAAAAGCACTCTTCTTATGATAAACTCCTTCTCTTTTCCCCTTTGGCAGTTACTTCATCCATGGTGAAATTATGTTCTGGCTAAAATAAGGACACAAATAATTAGAATTTGATTCAATAGAGCTACATGCTGTCTTATTTCAGTCAAAATTATTTTTCATATCGAATGAATTTCATTTCTTCAAACAGTATTTATCAGGGATCTACGCACTACTGATTGGTGACCATGGGTGGTAAAAACCGTTAATGTTCTTGTCTACTAACCAAAAGGTTAGAGGTTCAAGTTCACTCAGAAGTACTGCAGAAGAAAGGGCTATCGTGACCTACTTCCAAAGAAATCAGCCACTGAAAACCCTATGGAGCAAACTTCTACTCTGACACACATGAGATTGTCATGAATCAGAATCGGCTCGAGGACAACTTTATATATGTTGTTGTTGTTATGTAGCGTGGAGTCGGTATATATACCAATTACTCTTCTATAATCCCTACCTCATTCAACTTTCTATTATCTTGGGTATTTTACTTCACGCAGTCAAATCATCTCTTTCTTACCTACTTAGGTCACAGATTATGAAGTAATATGGGTTTTGTTTGGCCGTACTTTGTGCCTTCCCTGGGATTTTAAAAGACGTTAAGCTAGGTTTCAGTACAAGAGCTTAGCATCTATCTCTTTTTCCCCAGCAAGTTTCAAGTAGTTAAAAGTTAGCGGCATACTCCCTGCAGATTTTGAAGCTGCCATCTCTTACACAGCTAATAGCGTCATCTCTTTCTTTGTTGTTGTTGTGAAGTGCCGTCAAGTCGGTTCCGACCCCTAGTGACCCTGTATAGGGTTTTCGAGGAGCAGCTGGTGAGCTTGAACTGCCGACTTTGCAGTTCAAATGGCTTTGCAGTCTGGCGCATTAGCCCACAGCGCCATACCAGGACATTTCTTAGATACCAATAAATAACTTCAATAATCCAATGCCATAAAATAGGGTTTGGTATAACTTTTACCATATTGTTCTAGAGTTTTCCCTTATATATATGTCTCTTCTATGCATTGTGTTATGGTAGAGGCTCTATAACACCACAAAACCAAACCCTATATCATGTTTCTGAGACTGTACATCTTTATAAGAGCAGACAGCCTCATCTTTCTCTCATGGATCGTTGGGTGGGTTTGAACTGCTTACCTTGGGACTAGCAGCCCAATATCTAACACACAGTGTCATCAGGGCTCCTTAGGGACTGTCATTGTCATTGTTGTTAAGTGCCATCCGACTCATGTTGTTGTTGTTGTTGTTATGTGCCGTAAAGTCGGTTCCAACTTATAGAGACCCTGCACAGGGTTTCCAAGGCTGTAAATTTTTACGGGAGCAGAAAGCCCCATCTTTCTCTGGCGGAACAGCTGGTAGTTTCGAACTGCTGACTCATAGCAACCCTGTATAGGGTTTCCAAGGAGCATTTGACAAGTTTGAACCACCAACCTTATGGTTCAAATCAACCTTGCAGTCCAGTGCTTTATCCTCCAGTGCCACACCTATAGAACATGGTATTCTTCTTTGAATTATTTTTTAACTTTTTATTGTGAATTGATTAAAGATTTACAGCGGTTACAAATCAGGCTGCTAACCTCAAGGTCGGCAGTTCAAATATACCAGCGATTCTGCGGGAGAAAGATGAGGCGTTCTGCTCCCGTAAAGATTTACAGCCTCGGAAACCCTGTGAGTCACTATGAGTCGGAAAGGACTCCATGGTACCTAACAACAACAATATACTTTGCTTCATTTCAATAAATCACAATCCCTCCACCCCCATGAAACATCTTTCTTCCCCTATGTGATACTTATTTCCATTCCAGCCTTTGTTCCAACCCTTCTGAACTTTTCCCTTAGGTAAATGCTGCCCTTTAGCTATTGAACGGTAGACTACTCCCAGTGAGCATATTTTACTAGTGTTCTTACGTATTGCCTTCCCCATCATCCAGTTTGACACATGTCTACTCTCTAACCAATGGATTACTCTCAGCATGTATTTACTGTTTCTACCAAAAACCCAGACCACAGCTAGACACATACAGACTCTATCAAAGTCAGATACTCCATCTTACTCTGAATAGAGTCATTTGGCAAAATAAAAGGAATCAAATTTTCCTTTTGATT